CTTTAAATAAATTATTATCTTTCAGGTTGTGAAGATTTTTAAGAAGTAAAAGACCTGCCAGGATGATGGATTCCCCTCCAAATCAGGCCTTTTGAATAAAAACAGACTGATGACAACTTGCTGTCTAGCACTACAAACTAGCAGGAACAGATCTGAGACTATATTATTTTCTCAGCTGGGATAAGGAATGGGCTTCTCTTTATACTTTATGACGGGGACCACACTACCAAGTAGCAATTTAATAATTTGAATCTCTTCTAAGATCACTTAAAAGATATCAGGTATCTTCTGTTCTGTTAGTTCTTTATCCATCTTACACCAATACCACATTGTCTTGATTACTGTAACTTTATAACTAGCCTCAAAATCAGAGGTGTTGTTTTTCTAATTCCATTCTTTTCAAAATTGTTTTGGCTATACTAAGTCTTTTCTATTTTCATGTGAATTTTAGAATCAGTTTGTTAATTTCTACAACAAAGCCTGCTGGAATTTTTATTTGAGAAGAATTGACACCTTAATGATATTGATTTGTCCAATTCATGAACATGGTATATCTTTTCACGTGTTTAGATCTTTAAATTTTTCTCAGCAATTGGATTTCGGTGTACAGATGATCTTTTTTAGTCTTTTGTCAGATTTATCCCTAAGTATTTCATACTTTTTGATGTTATAGCAAATTATATATATTTTTAAAATTTTATTTTTTAATTGCTCGTTGTTAATGTATAGAACTACAATTGATTTTTGTATATTAGTGTTTTTTCTATTGCAACCAATCCAAACATGAAGGGACAGCCTATGTTAAATAAAAAAAAGGTGTAATATCAATTCAGCAGAGATAATCTTTTCAACAAATGGTGCTGAAACAATTGGATATCTATATGCAAAATATTAAAAAAATCTAATTAGCCAGGCTGGTGTGGTTCACTGGTTAAGCACTGACCCATGCACCAAGAGGTCACCAGTTTGATTCCCAGTCAGGGCACATGCCCATGTTGTGGGCCCAGTCCCCAGTGGGAGACATGCAGAAAACATGCAATGTTCTCTCTCATTGATGTTTCTATCTCTCTCTCCCTCTCCCTTTTTCTAAGATCAATAAGGAAAAAAAAACCAAAAACTCAAACCAAACCAATACAAAACTTTCAATCCATACTTCACATTATATAAAAATTAACTCAAAACAAATTACTCACATAAATCTAAAGCCTAAAACTATACAAATCCTGAAAGAAAACTTTTATGACCTTGGATTTGGCAAAGATTTCTTAGGTATGACACTGAATACATAATTCATAACAAAACAAATAAGAAGTTGAACTTCATTAAAATTAAATTGTTCAGACACATTTAAGAGATTGAAAAGACAACCCATAGACTTTGAGAAAATATTTGCAAATCATATAAAGGACTTATATCCAGAATATATAAAGAACCCTCAAAACTCAAAAATACTACTATTCAGTTTTTAAATGGTAAAGATTTAACAAGACACTTTACCAAAGAAAATATAGAGATGGCAAATAAGCACATGAAAAGATGCTCAACATAGTTATTAGGGAAATGAAAATTAAAACCATGAAAGACCACTATACACCTTTTACAATGGCTACAATTAAAAAGACAGACCAAACATACACATGCACACAAAATTGGTAACTATGTGAGGTGATGGATGTGTTAACTAACCTTATTGTGGTGAATACTTCACAGTATACACATACTGTGTATCAAATGATCACACTGTACACCTTAAACTTATATAATGTTATGTCAATTATATCTTAAAACTGGAATAAAAAGATTTTAAAGAAATTGACCATACCAAGTACTGACGAGGAAGTGGAGAAATTGGAACTCTCCCACACTGCTATTGGGAATGTAAAATAGTATAATTACTTTGGGAAATGGTTTGGCAGTTTTTTTAAAAAATTAAATATTCACATGTCATATAATTCATCCATTCCACTCTTAGTCATTTTCTCTACCCAAGAGAAACAAACACTTATTTCCACACAAGAACCTACATATAACTGTTCCCAGCCATTCTGTATGCAATAGCCCAAGACCAAAACAACACAAATGTCCATTAACAAGTGAATGGAAAAACAAACTGTGATATCCATGTAATGGAATAGTACTAAGCAATAAAAAGAAAGGAACTATTGATACAAGTTACAATGTGGATTGATTAATTCTTAGACTAGTTACTATGAATGAAAGAATCCAGACAAACCCAGAAACACGGAAGTAGGGTACAGACTGACAACCCTCAGAAGAGGGGATGGTGGGGGGTGGGAAGAGATAAAACACAGAACTTATGTGCATGCATGCATAACCAATGGACATGGACAACAAAGCTCGGGACGGGGTAGGGGGTGATGGGAAGGAGGGTGTCAATGGGGTAAAAAAGGAGAAACATCTGTAACAAAAATAAAATAAAATAAATAAATAAATAGACATAAAAAAAATTAAAAAATAAAAAAGGAGCAAGCTACTGGTACAGGCAACAATATGGAAGACTTTCAAATGCCTTGTGCTAAGTGAAGAAAGCCAGGCACAAATGGCTAACATGCTATATGATTCTGTTACAGGACATCATCCTGGAAAAGGCAAAACTAGAAGAACAGAAATCAGATCAGTGCTGGTTATTGGGGGAGGGGATTGACTAACAAGGGGCATAAAGGAAGTTTTGGGAAATGCTTTATTATGATTATGTTGGTGGGTACATAACTTAATTTTCTCAAAATTCATCAAACTATTCAACCCAAAATGATGAATTCTACTGTATCTAAATTATATATCAATAAACTTGACTTTAAAAAATAAAAGGAATATATACTCATGGTAAAAAAAAAATTAAAAAGCCCTGGCCGGTTTGGCTCAGCAGTTAGAGCGTCGGCCTGCGGTCCTGAGAGACCCGGGTTCGGTTCCCACTAAGGGCATGTACCTCGGTTGCAGTTTGTCCCCGGCCCTGGTCGGTTGTGCGGGTGGCAGCCACTCGATGTGTTCCTTTCACATCGATGTTTCTCTCTCTCTCTGTTCCTCTCTCTCCCTCCCACTCTACCTGAACAAAAGATGGAAAAATGTCCTCGGGTGAGGATAAAAAAAAAAAAATTAAAAAAAAAAAGAATCCAGACACTCGATGTGTCCCTTTCACATCGATGTTTCTCTCTCTCTCTGTTCCTCTCTCTCCCTCCCACTCTACCTGAACAAAAGATGGAAAAATGTCCTCGGGTGAGGATAAAAAATAAAAATAAAAAAAAAAAGAATCCAGACAAGAAAGAGTATATACTATGATTGGATTTATATCAAAATTCTAGAATATGTAACAAATTAATAGTGACAGAAAGCAGATGGTGGTTGCCTGAGGGACAGGACCATCTGGGAGGTAAGGAGTATGCAGGGCATGAAGAAACTTTTGGTAGTGATGATTATAGTTATTCTCTTGATTGCGGTGATTGATTTATGAGTGTATACATTTTCCTTTAAATTTCTCAAATCGTGCAATTTAAATGTATGCACTTCATCTGTCAATTATCCCTCAGTAAAGCTGTTTAAGAAAAACTAAGAAACATGAGGAGTTACCAGATGGCAGTAATAACTCTGTGAGGTTAAAGAGCAATGTTGTAGTTGATGAGCTTTAGAGATCTTGATTTCAGTGTTCCTCTCTTGACTCTGGCAGCTCATCTTTGCTGGGTTCTAACTAAAGCTTCATTTCACTTTCACATTGTGCAACAGAGTTGCCCCAGTCGACTGGCTATCTCTTGCATCTCCTCAGGGATCATGCAAGACACTGGTTAGCCAGCTGAGAGGACCTGATCAAGTCACCAACAAAACTCATATTCTCAGATGTGTGGGGAAAGCCAAACATAGCCTTATGAAAATAAAACTTTATGGAATCCGCAGAGCTATGGGGTTCACACTAACCCAGCCAGGATGGATGGCTCTGATCAAGTACTGGCTAGACTGGTTGGATGTAAATGACTGGGAGTCTTGCCTTAAACACACACACACACCATGAAGGAAAAGTGAGATATCATGGATTTATTTACTAACTCTCCTGGGGAGTCCATGGATAGCCTTCAGTGAGCTGGGTCCATGACCCCAAAATTACATGCACGTTTTGTAAGTATATGTATTCATGTATTTTTTTCTGGGGAAAGGGTTCATAGCTTTCATCACACCCGCAAAGAGCTCCCAGACCAAAAAGATTAAGAAGAGCCAACCAACATGGATAAAGCCAGACTCATCTATTATTTCTCCTCCCTCCTCTCTAGCTCCCAGGAGAAAAACCTATCAGTCATTCATTCGATTCTTCCCAATGAGATTAAATATGTTCGACCTACATCAAACCATCACCAATTTCATTTCTTCCCCTTTGCCTGGGAGCGCATACTCCAGGCTTCCCCACCACCCTGCGCCTTCTCACCGTTTCTTGCTGCTTAAGAATTTGGAGTTGTTTCTAGGTTCCCCAGATGTGCAAACTGACCGCCAAGTTTTCTCTCCCCAGGGACTCAGTCCCTACTCTATCCTACAACTATCCACGGGTATTGATGGGGTTGTCTTCATCCGACCTCCGCGGGGACTGCCTGCTTTGCAACATTCACACATCTTTCCTCGCGGCGCTCGGGGTACCGCGCTCAGGATTTCTTGAAATTGCTGTAAAACTCCATCTCGGATATCCCATTGTAAGCCCAGGTTTTTCCCTTTGCCTTGGAAATCGGGAAGACGTTGTAATAGAAACCTCGCAGCTCTCTCCCTTGGGTGCCCAGGCAAGCCGAAGGTGGGCAGGGGCACAGAAACAAACAAGCATTCGGTCCCTTGCCACCGCTCCCTCCACGTGTTCCCGGCGCACCGGCGCAACGCCCCCTCCCCTGCGCGCGCACGTCCCTTTCCTCCGGACCGCCTCGCGCCGCTGTAGGTGGGGTACCCGGTGCCGTCCCTCTGCGGCGCCCCGGCCTCCTCCCGCCGCCCCGCCAAGGGCGCACGCCTCTCCCTACCCGATGTCGCTGGCGGCCGGAGCAGCAGTAGCAGCAGCAGCGCTGGGAGGTCACTGAACCAGCAGCCCCCGAGCCGCTGGAGGGCCATGGCTTCACCCTCGTCTGCGCCCTCGCCGGTACCGGCAGATGCCCAAGAGTCCGGGAGGAGGTGACTAGCACAGCTCCCGGGACTGGCCGCCCTGCGAGGCGCATTCGCTTTCGCTTTTGCTTTAGCCCCCGGAGGGCTGGGGAGAGGTGAGAAGCGTGACAGATCTGTGACTCAGCACCCCCACCCCCTCCTCTAGAAAAAGCCCCGGCAGCCGAGGCGATCGTGGTGCGTCCGCCTGAGTCCCTGCAGCGCCCGAGGCCGCGCACCGCGGAGACCTGGACCGTCACCTGCGGAGGACTGGATCCCGACTCCCTTTCTCTCTCCTCGTCTCTCGTGACCCCAAAAGTCCATTCGGTCTCGTGTCCCCAAGCAGAGAGAGTGGGCAAAGACATTGGAAGCAAGGTCTTTCCCGTAAACTTGGCCGGCGGGCGTTCACACCTGACTTCTGCTCCACTTGGTGACCTCACGTTTCCTTTCACTCCTGGACAATGGGCTAGTGGGCAGTGGCCCTAAGCTCCACCTTTCTGATCCCGTCACGGCGGGGAAACAAACATCACCTCTGGATGACGCCAGAGGTGTCGACAGTGGTGCAGCTGGCCGGGTCACCTGTCTCGGGATCGCAGCCCGTGCCACCTGCTCATGCTTGTTGGAGACAACCGAGTGGAGCCCTGCTTACTGGAAAGTAGTGCAGTATCACAACCTGGAAATTGACACTGATGCAAATCATAGCCATATTTGAATTTTGTGAGTTTTCTGTGCATTTGTTAGTGCGTGTTTATTTCAGTGCAGTTTTGTCTCACACAAATACAGAGAGAGAGAGAGTCTGTGACCACCACTGCCAAGACTGAAGAGTTCCCCTCGCAGGATCTCTCCTGCTACTCTTTTATAGCCACAGCCACCTTCTCTCCCTGTCCCTAAGCACTGGCAACCACTGATCTTCTCCATCTCTATAGTTATATGTGAAGAATGCTGTACAAACATAACCATACAATTTGTAACATTTAAAGGTGGGCTTTTTCACTCAGTATAATTCCCTTGAGATGCATTCAAGTTGCTGTATCAGTAGTTTGTCCCCCTCCCCGCCCCCTGCCCTTTTTAATGTTATCCTAGAAATCTTGGTCACATTCTTGTTTTGTTCAATTTCTTTTTGTCTATCTCTATTTCGGTGTTTTGGTTTTTTATTTATTTGTTTTTTATCATCACCTGAGAATATTTTTCCATTTATCTTCAGATAGAGTGGGAGGGAGGGAGAGAGAGAGAAACATTGATGTGAGAGAGACACATCGATTAGTTGCCTCCCACACGACCCTGACCAGGGCCAGGGACCTGACTGCAATTGAAACCATGACTCTTTGGCCCACAAGCCACTGCTCTAACCTCTGAGCCATTCCAGGGCTGTTCCTTTTCATGAGTAATACTGAAAGTTTCTTTCTTTTTTTTTATCTTCACCCGAGGACATTTTTCCATTTTTTTGTTCAGATAGTGTGGGAGGGAGAGAGAGGAAGAGAGAGAGAGAGAAAGATCAATGTGAAAGGGACACATCGAGTGGCTGCCACTCGCACGACCAACCAGGGCCAGGGATAAACTGCAACTGAGGCACGTCCTGTGAGGGGGAACCGAACCCGGGTCTCTCTGGACCGCAGGCCAATGCTCTAACTGCTGAGCCAAACTGGCCAGGGCCTGCAAGTTTCTTTTTTAAGTGTATGAATCTCTGCCATCTATCCATACTCAAATAACCCAGTGCTTTTATATGTGTATTAGTTTCCTAGAGCTCCATAACAAAGTACCAAAAATGAGTGGCTTGCCCTGGCTGGTTTGGCTCAGTGATTAGAGCATTGGCCCTCAGACCAAAGAGTCACGGGTTTGATTCCAGTCAAGGGTTGTGGTTTGGTCCCAGCCCTGGTGGGGGTCATGCAGGAGGCAACCAATTGATGTATCTCTCTCACATCGATGTCTCTCTCTCTCTCTCTCTCTCTCCCCCCCCTCCCTCCCACTCTATCTAAAGATAAACGGAAAAGTATCCTTGGGTGAGGATTAAAAATAAATAAATAATAAAAAAAGAGGTGGCTTAACCAAAAAATTAATAGAATTAATAAAAGAATTCAGTAAAGAAACAGGACACAAAATTAATATATAGAAATCTGTTATGTTCCAATACACTAATAATGAACAATTAGAAGGAGAGATGAGGAAAACTATCCCATTTACAATTTCATCAAAAATAAAAAATATCTAGGAATAAACTTAACAAGGAGGTGAAAGACCTCTACTGAGAAAATTATAAGACACTGAAGAAAAATATTGAAGAGGACACAAAGAAAAGGAAGGATATACTGTGCTCATGGATGAGAAGAATTAATATGGTTAAACTGTCCATAACACCCAAAACAATTTATAGATTCAGTGCAATTCTTATCAAAATACCAATGTCATTGTTCTCAAAACTAGAACAAATAATCCTAAAATTTGTATGGAACCACAAAAGATCCTGAATGGCCAGAGCAATCTTTAAAAAGAAGTTGGAGGTATCACTCTCTCTGATCTCAAACTGTACTACAAACCTATAATAATCAAAATAGTGTGGTACTGGCACAAAAACAGACACACAGATCAGTGGAACAGAATAATGATCCTAGAAATAAACCCTCACTTATATGGTCAACCAAAGATCAGCAAAAATCTGATATCATCCCCACACCCATGGCAAATAATTCTTTTCCCTTGGGTTTTTATAAGGGCCCAGGAAAATAGACATCTATGACCTGTGTCTTTTTGGTTATTTTCGGATGGTCATTGTTCAGACCCACCCTCCAGGCCCTGGTCTCTACAAACACACCTGACTCCCTTCTTGGTAGCCTATCCCCATTCCCTTCAAAACACTTTCTGCACATCCAGTGATCCTCACAGACAATCTAGACTGTTTATCTCTGTTAGCACAGGTCTTCCTCTAGAAAAGTCTTGTTTGGGTCTGCCTCTTTGGTGTCCCACAATAAAATAAACAAACATCAAACACATAAACAATCTGTAAATTGCATCCCTGAGATGGGAGAGTCTCAAATTCTAGAATAGAAAAGCTTGCCTGCTCTTGGGGGAAATCACCCCTTTCTTCTCTGTGATGAAGCTTTGGTAGCAAAAATCTCCAAGAGACCAATTCATGCCTTGATAACTCAATTATATTAATCTGGAGCCTCATAACTATAATTTAATCAAAATTAAGCTACAAAGTGGATTTTTATTTTTAAATATTTAAATATATCACAGTAGAGTGAGCTTAACTTTTTAAAGTTTCATTATTTTTTTAACTCAAAGTTCTTCTTTTGGAATTTTACTTATTTATTTTTTAAGTTTTTTAATCCTCACCTAAGAATATTTTTCCATTGATTTTTTTAATTTTAATTTTTATTTTTTAGATAGAGTGGAAAGGAGGGAAAAAGAGAGAGATGTGAGAGAGACACATTGATTGGTTGCCTCCTGCATGACTGGACCAGGACCAGGAATCAAACCTCCAACCGATGTACGTGCTCTTGACTGGGAATTGAACCCATGACCCTTTGGTCTGCAGGCCAATGCTCTAACTGCTGAGCCAAACTGACAAGGGCCAAAATTTTACACTTTTTAAAAATCCCCGCTCAGTGATATTTTTCTATTTATCTCAGTTAGAGTGGGGTGGGGGGGAGGAACAGAAATATCCAGGTGAGAGTGACACATTGACTGGTTGCCTCCTGCACGACCCTGACCAGGGCCGGGGATGAAATGCAACTGAGGTACGTGCCCTTGACTGGTATCAAACCCACGACTCTTTAGTCCATGGGCTGACGCTCTAACCACTGAGCCAAACTGGCCAGGGCTGGAATTTTACTTTTTATTGTTTTTGAAAACATATTTTTTCCAGTTCTGCTTGTGTAGGAATAATTGAACCTACACCTTAGGGTAGTTGTGAGAAGTAAATGAGTTAATAAAAGCATTTTAAATAGTGCCCGACATACAATAAATGCTCAATAAGTGTTCAATAAGTAATAAACAACATTTACTATTTAATATGTTGTCTTTTGTAAACTACTTAAGATAATTTAGAGAAAAACTGTCAGCTAAAAATGTTAAGTTCAAGTTAGGGGTTGAAAAAGTACTCAAAAATATATTATCTGTGATACTGAGCCAAGCCATCTGTCAAGGCAGGAAGCCAGAGCATGGAGATGGATGGCCTCATGAACAGATGGTGTGGATAGAGATTCCACCCTGGGAGGAACTTCCAACAGCAGAGACACATGTTCCCACATCAGTATCACTCCCTACAGCAAGACTACACCCATCTTAGATGATAAAGGTGTACAGCAAACTACCCCAAGATGAGGGCTTCACGGTCTACTCCCAATTACACCAAGAGCATCCCCATACTGACCCTCATCTGCCTAAGAGCTCAACTTGGCCTGTCACCCGTGGGCACTTCCTTCATGTTTACAAAATATGTCTGCCCTTTCTTTTCTGCCCCACCCCCTTCTTTACCTTCCTTATCCCATCTCCTGGTGAAGAGAACTTGGAAGAGGAAAACCTTTTAAGAACCTCCTGAGTTCACTTTTGCTTTTTGTTTTATCCCTAAACTCAGGATAAAACCAAGGAAGAAAGTAATGGAATCTTAGGGTTTTAAAAACTTAAGCCCAAGATTTATTTGAACGTTTCAAACCCAAATGCCTGTAAGGGCCAAACAGCAGTGTTGGTGGGCACGAGACAAGATGAAGGGGGCTGAAAGCCCTGTCAGACTGGAAGGGCGCACTGTGCCAGTGACACTAGATTTTTACTTTTTGAAGACATTTGAAAAATATAGATAGGTCCTTGTGTGAAATCTCTTCATTTACAAATAGTGATGATTGTTTTAGAAAAGAAACATCAAAATACCATGCAAGCCAGACAAAGCCCATCTTTAGGCTTTGCAGCATCTAATATGTAGTAATCTTCTTTTTATTCACAGTTATTAAGTGTTCCTCTTCCTCTACCATGCTAGAAATCAGAGATATTAACATAACTAGAATGAGTTTGGTTCATGAATTTAAAAATTTTAGATTTATGACCAATCAAAATAGGTGTCCCATGACCTCTTAGAACATTTTGCA